AAAGTACTTAAATAGTAACACCCTAATGTTATGCAAGGAATGCCCTCATGAATTATCTATCTTTACGATAAGTTTTCGACAAGTAAATGTAAGTTGACAATTCTTGCTTCTTCAACTGAGATCATGCAAGTCGACAATTCTGGCTTACATGCGGTAATCGATAAAGCATTCAATTTTCGCTAAGAACTATCCAAGAATGATAACAGTTAGCGAAAGTTGTTTGCAAAAAGGTTAACTCAAAGAAACATTGACATATACAACAAAAAAAGTTTTTTTAATTTAGTACATTTTACGGATCTGTAATTGCTTTAAATCTGAGCTAAAAGTACTGGTTTTCCAAGTCTGTAACGCGGTACGTACCCAGTGATTTTTTTTCCTGCATTTTACAGCCGAATAAAGGCTGTTTCCCCTAGCCCTAAATAGGTATATTTCCCCTAAAAATGCTATTATTTTTCCCCTAAAATGCCCTTTGCACATTTTTCACTAGAGCCATGACTTAACAGCAGCTGACTTATATCAGCTTAAGACAGAACTAGTGAACTACAGATAGCCCCTGCATGTATCATGGATGTTAAATTGAATTGAAATTGAATATTTTTAAACATGTGTGGCTAAACCATTCTCAGTGGTTAGAATTTGATTTTCCCCTTTTCTGATTTATCGCGCTATATTTTCCCCTTCAGAAAGCCACAGGTTGTTTTGAAAATTGAAAAAAAAATCACTGGTACCACAGATGTCTGAGACCATTGTCTACCAGAATACCGGTCAAACCGCGCACCTCTATTACATATACCTCAAACTAAAGTTTGTTTTTTCTGTTCTTTTTGTCACTGACATTTGAAAACAGATTTGAAGTTCAAGTGAGACAAGAAAAATGGAAAAAAGCGACTTCTCTTATTAGGGACAAGAGCGATCAGTAATCACATGTGTCGCCTCATGATGGCCAATTTCATGTTGGGACAAATTTTGTGACAGACGGACAGACAGACAGACAGTGCACAACTAGACTTGGTACTGATCATTCCTGTAGTTTGGATAGAATTGCACCAGTAGTTTATAAGGAGTAGTCCGGACAAGCTTTTGCATATCTGGCAACACACAGAAAAAAAACACCTTTTTATCAAAGGGCCATAACTCGGCCAAAAATCATTCAACCGGAAAACCCGTGCAATATGCGCAAGGACTTGAGCTACAGATCAATATTGTAAAGTTTCATTGAAATTGCATGAGTGGTATAAGAGAAGTAGGCCGGACAAACTTTAAAATTAAAAATTATTAAAGGGCCATAACTCTGACAAAAATCATTGAACTGGAAAATGCTGACAATATGCACAACTAGGCTTGGTACTGATCATTCCTGTAAAGTTTGGATGAAATTGCACCAGTAGTTTATGAGGAGTAGTCCGGACAACTTTTGTGACGGACGGACAGACAGACAGACGGTATACATTTATGGAAAGTAGATTTAAAGTAGAATTATCTTATTTAAAAGGTGTTTCTTATTGTTTTTTTTTTTTTGGGGGGGGAGGCATTTAGATTTACCCATGTCCATCCTTCTGTCTGTCCGTTTGTGTCGCATGTAACTCAAAAAGTATTTGACCTAGAATCATGAAACTTGTGCACCTGGGTATTTTCGTATGGATTTATTCGGTATTTTAGGGTTATTGCCCTTGACTTAGTAAAATTTTTGTAATTTTCAACTTGTGTCACACGTAACTCAAAAAGTATTTGATATAGAGTCATGAAACTTTACAGGAAATGTTGATCAGCATGTGTAGTTGTGCACCAGGTATTTTTGTGTGGATATATTTAGTATTTTTAGAGTTATTGCCCTTGAAGTCTCCTCACTTCTCCCTAAGTCACCTAGAGGGAGAAGTCACTTCTCCCTAAAATTTTGACCTAGCTCAAGCCCTGCAATACACACTATGCAAGTCACTACACAGTACATACTATGCAAGTCATTATGCAGTACACACTTTGCAAGTCACTACACAGTACACACTATGCAAGTCACTACATTGTATATATATTATAGTTAAAGGGAAAAACAAGGTTAGAATAAAAACTCGATTTCAGAAAACGAATACTAAAAATAATAAATCTGCAAATTTTTTGCCGCCAAATAATAATATTAAACGAATGATAACGAAATTTAAATTGCTTAATCGCCGATTTCTACAAATCAGTAGGCGCGGCCATGTTTGTGTATTGGCCGTATAAAAACAGGTGCGCGTGATGTCATTTCCCCACATCTTTAGATTTATGATAAATCTAGTTGAATCTTAGCGAAATATTTACATAATAAAGTATTGACCAGACAATCTAATTTTCACAGGAGGTGTAGAGGCGATTTTTTATTGTTCAAAATTCAAAATATCAAAAATAAAAATAAAATAAAAAAAATAAAGAAACAAATAAAAAATCAACGTCTACCGGTCGCACCACTTCAGGCCAGTGATGCCCGTTACTCCAAACAATGCTATGTTCATAAAAGTCTCATCTTAATGTAATTAAACAATATTTCACAGAGTTAATAAATACACATGTTATTATTTAACAAAATTTCACAATCAAATAATGCAATTAAATAAACAAACGCACCAACGAATAATTGGCTGTTAATTATTGAACGGCGATAATTATCATTATTATTAAAATCCTACTAAAACGTGTTCTTAATAGTACATGTAATTAATTTTTTGCAGTTTGATTCTGACTTTCAAATTAAAAGGTGTGAACATATGTTAGTAGTGATGTACACATTTCAAAAATATAAGCAACTCTTTTGAAAAGTAAATTGTTTACATGTCTGTCAACGTATGATGCTTCGTGGTATTTATTTACATCGTAATCGTAGCCTAATAATAACTGCATGCAAAACATTTTTATTGGCTGCTCAAAAATCTCATTTGCATAATTTATTCACACAATTGCTGGTTCTTACTACTTATGACTAATACTGTGCATTATCCATTTTAATTGTTCCTAATTTGCACCAAATGTTCCTGTCACACTGTGTACTAACGGTTTTTATTGCTCCTTGTATGCCTCTGTGCCAACAGACCTTTTGATCATGCACAATGTTGCCCTGATTGGTTAATCACCCTTGCCAAATATTCTAATGACGAAATAGACATTTTTTTTTACGCTTCATCAGTGAACTGAATGACCTTAAATTTAAAGGAGTCAAGTTATACTGTAAATTACAGCATTTCATACAATAGCAACACATTTTTTCAGTTACCAATAATCATTTTGAATATTAAATAGATTTATGTTTTTTGTTTTATTGGATTAAATTTACGGTAGTAGAAATGTGTATCTGTGTGGTAAGTAGATAACGTGGAAAAAAGCTATAGGGAACTGGATAAACCCGAGAATATGCGTAATAATAGGGGAATTATGCCCAATGGGCAAGGATTGGGCAACCTGTTGCTGTTGGTACCAGTTTTGCCTGGGTGCCTAATTAACCGAACGGACATTTTTGTTTTCATACGATATTAGTCTAGCTGCCGATTTTCCTGCGCCATTTTATTTTTAGCATCAATGTCGGAAAATCGCGTCCTTAGGAAATATCTGCATATTGGATTTAGTTGATATTTACCGCTGAGAAAAAGATACATGACCCGCGATGTACCCTATTCAGACAGCTTGTCTAGCGAAAATTAAGTACCAAATAAAAGGATATATCGTCAATTTGAAGAAGTTTCTCAAAGTACCCAAATTAAATTGATGGTTTATCTTTGAAAACTAAGCAGTCATTGCTTAAATTCATGTGGTGGGATCATCAGCAAGCTTGAAAATCGGACAAAAGTTAATGCCGCGGCGTCTTCAATTAATTAATTAAAGCAAGTCAGTTCCATATGATGTTTTCATAAATAATAAATAATGTACGCAATAAGAAAAAATTAAGTTCTTCGTCAAGATATATTTCAGTTGTACCAGCGTGTACACCTTTACCGGAAGTGGTATAACACGTCACAAAATCTCGGTCTCGTCTGTGTCTCGCGAGAATGACAGAACGCCAAAATGGCGGCGACCATGAACTTATTTCTCAAGAAAAAAATAGTGTCTTAAAACACGAATTTCTCACTTAAATGGTTGATGTCAACAAAAAAACTGTCATGGTACCTCTTTTTTAATGATGAATATTTATATTAGACAGACATCAATCCATCCATTCCTATTCCTTTAACACAGACTACATCATACATGTATCAATTGACCATGTACCTCCATGGCATATTTTAGTACATGTCTCCCCCATCTATTTGTCCTCATTTGGCTTGTAGCTGGCATGTTTTTGCACCGTTGCACAAAATGGCAGCAAGAGCAAAAAATACAAATATCTTGTCTAGCTTTCACAGCCCAAACAGCCAGGTGAACTTCTGTCTGTCTATCCATACGAACCCTATAAATTTTGGGGTCACAAGGTCAAAAATCAAGGTCACTATTACCTTAAAACTGTAAACAGTTTCCAGAATATAACTTAAGTTCCATTTGGCCCACAGTGTTCAAACTTCATAGGATGATTGTCCATATTGGATAGTACTCCCCTATTGATTTTGGGGTCACAACGTCAAAAGTCAAGGTCACTATTACTTTAAAACTGAAAACAATTTCCGGAGTATGACATAAGGTCTATTTGGTCCATAATATTCAAACTTCATAGGATGATTGCCCATATTAGGCAGAACACCCCTCTTGATTTTAGAGTCACAAGGACAAACTTTAAAGGAGGATTGCTTTTTGAAAAGAAGGTTAAACTTTATTTATGTAATGTCTTACACAAATGCTTCATTCTTCCTAAAAAAGAAAAAAAAAGGAAAGATTTTGGGCATATAATGCTCCGCCTAGTGGTGCTCTTGTTATTTTAAGGCAGTTATGGAACTTAATCAGATATAAACAAAAGTTTCAAAAACAGTTGTACATTCCTTGCTGTGTTTCGGGGTATTTATCACATTCAGTGATAGCTCACTTATTGCCAATTTTACTTTCAGGCATCAGAGATAGATGAGAGAGGCATGGCAGCTGGTAATGAGAGAGGCATGGCCACTGGTGATGAGGAAGGCATGGCAGCTGGCGATGAGGGAGGTCTGGCAACAAACAATGAGCATAACCTCAAGCTCATTAACAGACAGGAGGTATACATAGATGCACTGGAAATAGAAGGCAAAGAGAAGGTGTGTACATTTTTATGATATCGAAATTATGGAACTTTGAATTTAAGATATAAGCAAAAGTTTTAAGAACAGTTGTACATTCCTTGACAGGGTGAGCTTTTGTGATCGCTTTTCGTCCGGCGTCCAGCCGTCGTCCGTAAGCTTTTACTTTAAATGACATCTCCTCATAAACCACTAAGCCAATTTCATCCAAACTTCACAGGAATGTTCCTTTGGTGGTCACCTTTGAAAATTTTTCAAAGAATTTAATTCCATGCAGAACTGTGGTTGCCATGGCAACTAAAAGAAAAAAACTTAAAATATCTTCTTCTAAAAAACCCAAAGAGCTAGAGCTTAGATTTTTGGCATGAAACATCTTCTGGTGAGTGTCTACCAAGTTTGTTCAAATTAAAGCCATTGGTCAAAATTGGCCCCGCCGCAGGGGGTCATTGATTTTCCCTATATGCATATAGTAAAAACTTAAAAAATCTTCTTTTAAAGAACCAAAAGAGAGCAATAGAGCTAAGATATTTAGCATGAAACATCTTCTAATGGATGTCTACCAAGTTTGTTCAAATAAAAGCCCTGGGGTCAAAATTGGCCCCGCCCCAGGGGGTCATTGATTTTCCATATATACATAGAATAAAAACTTAAAAAATCTTCTTTTAAAGAACCAAAAGAGCTAGAGCTAAGATATTTAGCATGAAACATCTTCTAATGGGTGTCTACCAAGTTTGTTCAAATAAAAGCCCTGGGATCAAAATTGGCCCCGCCCCAGGGGGTCATTGATTTTCTCTATATGCATATAGTACAAACTTAAAAAATTGTAGTGTCAATAAAGAAAAATGCATATAATAAACAGAAAATAAACAAACAAAAAATTTCTATAAATATAAGATATATTTTCATCTTGTGGTCTGAAAATTATCTTATTTCACTTGGCATTGATTTTCCTTATACGAGTATAGCAAAAACTTACAAATCTTCTTTTAGACTGGTTTGATTTTGGGAAAATGTTCATCCTAACGGCATTTTTTAGTACAAGCAGGTTTTTGCTCTACCACGGCTGTGTTTTTAGTCCTTGACCTTTAAAAATCAATTTCAAAATGGCTGCCATTGACTTTTTAATTTTACTTTAATTCTCTCGTGGGCGAGATATATACTTTTTTTTTGGCATTTTAATTTCAGGCTTTGTTAATTTTAGTCTGCTAAAGTGTTGATGAGAAGAATAAATGCAAAAACAAAAAAACAAAATATTGCGACAGCCATCTTGGATTTCAAAATGGCTGACAATTTCCTAAGTTTTATACATTGTATTATTATTAAAGTAAAGAAGCACAAGAAGGCATATTACAAGGCATGTTTTCTTTTATTAGAAGTGCAGTGATACTAAGTAAGACTTCCAAGCGCAGACTTTGAAAAACATCCATTAAAATTACAAACTTTATGGTGCAAAAAGGTCACAATTTATACCCTAATACAACGTAAATGAGAGTCATAATTGCGTTCACCTTGTCATTTAGATGTAATTTATATGCTTCTAAGAATACAATGCATGTTATTTAAAAATAATTGCAATGTTTTTTAAATTCGATTTGTATCGCCCTGAGGGGGGGGACCTGCTCAAATTTCTGTCCGTCTGTCATGATAGTCAAGCAAAAATAACTGACTACTCTTGTGTGGTAGATGATTGTTAAACGAGGGCAAAGAAATTTTGAAACATTTTATAAAAAATTTTTTTGTCTTTTAGAATGTAAATGGTTTGAAAATGCAAATTATTTTTAAAAGTGTTTCAAAATACATTTTAATTACACACCAAGAATCATTTAAGGTAATAAAATATAAAGTTAAGATTATCAAAATTATGTATAACTAACTGATCTTAGGGTCTCTGCATTTTCCCTACATTAAATTATCATTTTGAAGTGAATAATGTAGACCACATGTTTGTATAATAAATGGAGTTGGCACTGGCAAAACTGAAATTCAGCTTTGTTTCTGACTTAAAGGGACTCCACTGAAGTTTAAAAGCCTAAAAACATAACATTTGAATTTCTTACTTAAATGAGCTGGGGCACTTTAAAGAGAAATATATACAAAGATAGTTAAGAAATATACTTTGAAATAAATTGAAAATCGTATTTTTATGCTTTCCTTAGTCCGATTTGAGTGAAAAGAGTTTTAACGCTTTTCATTTTGGGTCATTTTTTACAATTTGAATAAGTATTCTGGAAAAACTAAGTGCGCCAATGACCTGAAATTTTGCACAAAGATTAGTGGTCTAAACCTACATCAAATGGTACATTTATGGGGAAAAACTATTTTCAGTCCCATCATGTCAAAAAACCTCAGTGGAGTCCCTTTAAGTGGTGGAGTTAGAGGGCAGCTAGAGATAAAATAGTGGTACTATTAAAAAAAAACAACAATTTTTGAGTCTGACTGACAGGTGGCAAAATAAAATTTTGAGTTTCTTGTAGCAAAGAGTTTTTGCACTTGTCCATATGATAATTATATAGTAAATTCTGATCAAATTTCACTTGTTTGTAATAGCTTAGGGACAACCTGGGCAAAATTGCCACCCACGCGGTCACATGTTACAGCAAGTTATATTATTTTCATGGTGCAGTGCCTTGTGATACCAGCTATTTGCATACATCTTCTTGATATTGTTGTAGAGGCTGTGGAGTCTGACTCAAGTAACAGTGAAGATGACAATGATTCTTGTGAAGATTATTCAGGTAATTATTTTAAATCTGCTAGATGGCTGAAGTAAGCTCAATAGCAAAAACAGAATAGTTGCTCAGTACTGAGCTTTCCAGGAATAAGTTGATTAATGCCTTCATGATGCTACTAAGACAATGAAATAATAAAACAAACAAAACACTATGCCTCTTATAATATTCACTCATGTAGGGTAAAAACTATACCCTCAAGACCAGTTTTGTTTTTGGTAATACCCAAATGCCTTGAAGGACTTTTAATTGAAATTTGGGTTCAGTTATAAGCACATTAAGACAGTGTACAGAAACCAACATTTTGGCATGCAGGCCCAAGGCCTAAGTTAAAAGTCAAAGGTTTGAACCTAGTATTTTGTGATTGCTTTGTAACTCCCACCAGCCTTGAAAATTTATTGAAATATGGTTGAAATGATCACCTCATTAAGGCAATGTGCAGAACTTACCTTGCAAGCACGCTGGCCAAAGGTCACAGTTGAAGGTCAAAGGTTTGAGCCTTAAATATCACATCCACTCCAAATTACCTTGAGTATTCTATTAATAAAATTTTAGGTGATTGTTCACCTCAATGCACAACATGCAGAACCAACTGTTCAGACATGCCAGCCCAAGGTCAAGGCCATAGTTCCGAGGTCAAAGGTTTGAGACTGTTGTGTAATTCCTTGATGATGTAAATTGGGTCTAATGTTAACATAATCCTGACAATTTGTGAAACCTATGATCTATTGTAGTTACTTACATAGTGTGTGTGTGTGTGTGTGTGTGCATATGTATTGACTTGCTAGTGTGTATGCCAAGGTAGCAAGCTTTGTTTCCTACATGGAAGTGAAGTGACTTGCATAGCGTGTATGCATGTGTACCAAACTTTATTGTTTTTAACCAGGTTTTCCATGGGAGAAACTTGTGTTATTAGATAGGGAACCTCATTGGGCATGTGGCTTTCACAATTCCTGTCCTTGCCATAACTTTTCCATCCTTGGAACAATTTCAATATTATTTGGCATGTGCTTTCACAATGACAAAATGTGTTGAATACAAAAATCAGATCTGTAGCTCAAATGTATAGGTCTTTTAGACAGGTTAAAGGTCACAATGTCCACAATGTTGTCCTTGCCATAACTTTGCCATCTTTAATGAGATTGTCCCTGTTGAAAACCTTGTTTCATTGCATTGCATAGCAATTTAGTGATTTGCATAGTGTGTATGCTAGTGAAGCAAAAATCATAGGCTTTTGTCAAAAAGCTTGTTTCTATGTGATCTCAAACAGTGTTAATCTGGATTAGGTGGTAAGAAGAATGAGGAAAATCTTTGATTGCTGTTGAAGTTAAATTTTTAATCGTTTCTTCATGAAACCTTGTCAGAATATTTCTTGCTTTTTTTGGGGGGGGGGGGGGGGTCTCAGAAGAGTGATACAGAAACCTCATAGTAGTCTTCTTTTACAGATATCAAAGAAGGCAAAAAGGAAAACAAGGATACTGGAAATGTTGCAAGGACACAGAAGAGACACAGGCAAGATGGTATGGTTAATATTTTCATTCATTGCACCATGGTTTAGTTATCTAAATAGTTAAAATTATTATGTTTGATTCCGGCAAAATTATGACCTGGCATTTGGCTGTCCACCAAAATAATCAAGGTCAGTGTTAGCTATTGACCCCAGAGTTGCAGAATTTTATTGAATGGTAAACGAAATTATGTATCTGTGTATCAGACTTATATAGGCAGAGTTATGGCCCTTGACTTGACACTTTAATTTGTGGTTTGCATTTCTCCTTAACTACTTGGGCTTAGGTCAGAAAACTTTCGGAAAATGGTTATTGGTTAGTCAAGTTGAGCCCCTTAGTTTAATTTCAACATCTATTTTGTATATTTAGAGTAACATGTATTTAGTATGTTACTTAGCAAAAATAGAGATATTCTATACAGTAATATTGTTTCTCTAAAACTTATAATTTAGGCTAGAATCACCAAACTTGAATTTTATTATCAGAACTGTAAAGCCTGAGTTATGAGGATTGACTTTGGTAAAAATGCATGGAAAATAAATGTTCGATTTATAATTCTTGTAGTATTTGTTGCTCCTTAACTATGTGACTTGACTAAATTTGAAGGAAAAATTCATTGGTAAGTGAAGTTAACCACTTTGGTTTTAATATCAGAACTGTGATGCCAAAGTTATGGTCCTTGACTGAACAAAAATAGATGTAAGGGCTCTTGTTTTCTGACAGAGTTGTTGGTAGGGACATCTGTGTCCCTAGGCTCATCAAATTTGCATGCATCAAATCATGGCTCGTTTGTTTAAAATGTTCATGACACATAGTTCTTGGAAGTGAAAAATATGTTAAAATGTATCTTAACATTGATTGTATTACTCAAGGAAGAAAAAAAAAGATTGAATCCTGTATTAACTATGTCAGGTTTTTGGGCCTTTAGTAGCAGCCATTTAGATTTAACCCTTGTCCGTCCTTCTGTCAGTCCATTCACTTTTGTGTCGCACATAACTCAAAAAGTATTTGGCCTAGAGTCATGAAACTTTACAGAACTGTTGATCAGCATGTGTAGTTGTGCACCTGGGTATTTTCGTCTGGATATTTTTAGTATTTTCAGAGTTATTGCCCTTGACTTAGTTAAATTTTGCAATTTTCAACTTGTGTCGCATGTAACTCAAAAAGTATTTGACCTAGAGTCATGAAACTTTACAGGAATGTTGATCAGCATGTGTTGTTGTGCACCAGGTATTTTCGTCTGGATTTGTTTTGTATTTTTGAGTAATTGCCCTTGACTTAGAAATTTTTTTCAATTTTCAACTTTTGTGGCAAGTTACTCACAAAGGATCATAGAGTCATTAAACCTTATGGGCAGGTTGCTCAACATATTTAGATTTGCACCTGGGGTTTCGCTTTTGGATTTATCCAATATTCCCTTGACTTAGTAAAAAGATTGACAGAACAGTGGCGTGGTGGGGGCGCCCGTGTCCTATGGACACATTTCTAGTTCTTCTTCAAATTACTGTGAAGATTTGTAGAGGTACATGTATAATGTGTAAATTGGCATCATTTTAAATGTGGAAGGTCTTTATAAAATTGAATTCTTTTCAACTACCCTGAGAAAATATCTCAACATTAATATTGCTCAATTATATACCAAACTTTATGCATTTCAGATTCTACTGAGAATGCACAGTCAAAAATCAGGATGGAGGAACCATGGGATTCGATTTCAGGTCTGTTGCTCATCCACTTCATGTTTACTGACTTGGTTAAATTCATAATAATGGTCAATGGTAGGAATTTTTCGTAACAATTTTCTCAGCAAAAATGATCACAGCCTCTTGATATTTGGTATACAGCATAAACATGTAGTCACATACCATGGGATACCATGGGATATGATTTAAGGTATGTGTAAGGTGAGCGAAATAGGGCCATCATGGCCCTCTTGTTTAATTTTTACATGTAGTATGTGATGGAAACAGTGTGTGTCAAACTCCACCATTGGTTTATGCAATTACTTAAAACATAAGATAACAAATTATACTTTCAATGGTACTAAACATATTTATAGAGCATGATTATTAATGTTTCTGATATTGCGTATTTCGTCTTGCAAAGATATGCCAGTAGCATCTCCACTTTTTTTTAAAGAATTAAATTCCTTGTTGTTTGTTTATTAAATCAAATAAAAAATTGTTAGTTTTAATGTTCGAATTTTTGTGAGAAAGTATATTAAGTTTCATTTTGTGCCAGACACTTCATCAAGTTTTTTTAACACTTTGTAGTCAAACAAGTACATCACTAATTCATAAAGGTTATCAAATGTACCAGAGGTTTGTTTTTATATAATTTCAGATAAACACACTTGGAGCAATGAAGAGAAAGAAGCATTGAAGTCTTTCTTTGAAAAACATTTAAGAATATCAAAAGTACCAGGAAAGCTTGACTGCATTAACGCACAGAGAAAGCATAGATGCCTTTTAAACATAAGCTGGAAAAAAATAAAATTTGCCGTTTATAATATGTTAAAAGCAAGGAAAAATTTGTTACAGTAATTGGGATGAAACATGCTTTTTTTTATATACCCAAACAAAGTTTAGGGGTGGTATATAGGAGTCAACTTGTCGGTCAATCCATTTCATGGTTTCCGAAAGATAACTAAAGTTTGGAATGAGTTATTGTAATCAAACTTATATATTGGCTACCTTATGTAGAAACCCCGGTTGGCATTTGGACCCCCTCGGGTCAAGGTCATTGTTACAAAAAAAGAAAAATGGTTCCCAGAGAAAAATTGGAGTTAGGAATGAGAAATTGTTATGAAACTTGGTGTATAGCAAGATTATGTGAAGACCCTGGTTAGTATTGCATTTGGACCCCCTGGGGTAAAAGTCATGGTCACTGTTACTTAAAATAGAAAAATGTTTTTTTTTTGACAATAACTTAGATAAAGGAGTAAGATATTGTAATCAAACTTGATGTATAGAAAGTTTATATGAAGATCCTGGCTGGGATTACAATTAATTAGATACTTCTTTGTATACAGTTGATAATTCATTAACTATAGGTTGAGTTCAAGTTTTTCTTCAGACTAATTTTTCAAAAAGTCAAAGTTGCTGGTGGGTGTATCAATTGAGTAGCATGATTTTCATACTGATTGACATTAGGCCTCGACATAATGTTTCTCTTAAATGCTTTATGGAAAGAAAAAGTGTTTGATTTTAATTGTGAAATTACTTCTTAATAGTGTAGCTAAATAATGCCCAATTTAACACCAAATATGATACTAGATATTTTCAAAGTTAAATAAAATAAAAACTTCTTGGTAAAAGTTCTACTTGGGGCCCTGTTCGTAACTGAAGTAATGCACGAAAGGGCACCTGAGGTCTTCCTTCACCAATAATGCTGGAGAGTCTCCAAATGACCTTTACCATAAAACCCTAAACAAACAAAACAGCTCCTCAATGTGGTAAATGTTAGGGATATTTTGAATAAGGTTTTTACATAGCGAAATAATAAAATTAGTGTTTAAAGTGAGTGGTGTAGGGTACTACTTTTTTACATAAAAACATTTTGATTAGAAACAATCATTTTGCTCATTTAATTTGTTACCTGAATGTTATTATTTGTTTCTTAAGAATGATCACTAGACAAACACTTTTCATATTGATGATATTATAGATTATTTAGAGTTTCCTCATTTCTGAAAGAGCTCTTTCAATAGCAAAGTTTAAGTTTAGCTTGTCCAATTTGCATATCAACATCGAAAAAGTATGTGCTCATGACCAAGTTAATTCTATCTTAAGCTTGAAACAGCGTATACCAAGATGCTATTAACTTCCATTATCCATGTATTATGCAATGTATGATTTCTTTGTTACTTATTAAACTTAGACTGTAATGGTAAATGATTATATTTTATCGATTAATATCCTTTGTAATTTACTGAGTTGTTGTTGTAAAATATGTTTTTCAATGTTAGCTGATCCATTTTTTAATGAAATTCATTTTATTGATTAAATTTGTTATTTGATCTAAATATAGCTGCAATCTCATTGGTCCAAACAGTAGTCAACAGAACTTTTTATAGAATCATATTCACTGGGTGTAGGATGAATTGGATTTTTCCAGTCTAAAAATAGATTGAGACTCAATGAACTTATATCGTAGACTATTATGCATGCTTATGAAAAAAATGATTGTTGCATTTTGTTCTTAATGGGTTATTTCTTGAATTAAAGGCCTGGGAACAAGTATAAAAGGCAGACAAGCAGAAAAATGGCCACTGTTTAAATCTGTATGCTGTCTGCTAGCATAATGAGAGAGATAGAAAAATGAAATTTCACAATTTAGAGAGAATTACCTCATATTATTTGCTATAAATTGGCACATCACTTCTTTATCATGTAAGCAACATTCCTTTAAAGTTACAGATCTCTGTGATACTTAGAAGTACTACTTTAAAAAAAATCTTTTTTTGAAAACAGTTAAAAATTCAAATTTCCCTGTGCATTTGATTGACAGTTGTACAGAGGTTATGACCTTTCTCTCAGCCAACTACATCTCTCTAGGTATAAACGTTCTCACAGTAGAGTTTGACAGATGGCGGGGAAATAAATACTAGGGCAATAAATACTACCAGAGAAATACTAACTTGAATTTTTATTTATTGATTGTGTTTTATTCCATCCCTACAATCATGAATTTATTAACTTGAAATTACATTGGTATTGGTCAGTTCTAACACAAAATTGAAATAGTCTATCTAGTGTAATAGGTAAAGTATGTAATCTAAAGAAAAAGTGAAATAAATGCATTATTATTTAATATATAATTCGACTCTGTTCATGTACACAGTCTAAATTACAATTGAAACACATCTAAGGTATAATACCTTGAATTTTGACAATGCCATAATTTGATTAAAATTAATATATTGCCATCTTCCTCACCCTAGATACAGAAGGACTCTCCCAACTAATTAATTACCTAAGATATATACCAAACATTTTTTCTATATACAAGGCATTTCTAAACAATTAGTATTTACTGTTTGTATATACTGACTATCACCGATTTCATAAATTATACTCTTCATTGTAAAAATATGTATTTGCAATATACATCCTGACAGCACTGCTATTACCTTTTCATCAAATTGCAAAATCATTACCCCCCAATAAATAAAAAACCTCTTTATCTCTCCTGAATGCTGAACTCTCCTATACTATTGCAGACCACATGTTTATATTTACAAGCATGCTGACCTCAGGTCATGATAATAAAACCCCGCCTCTTGTACCTAATATGCTTAATGGCCATCCGTACGGATATCAGAGTTCACATTCCCCGGCCTTTAAATATCATTACTGTACTATTATACTTCAAAGTTGCACTGCAATGATAAGTATAAACTTGAATTACTTTTGTCTAGTTGTTGCACACTTTACTCCAGTGCTTCGACGAAACGGGCAAAAGTTGTACATGTATAAGGTTGTATTTTTTGTGATTTGTTTTAATTTTTGTAACCTATTCATATAATAAAACAATTTTTGACTAGTGTGCTATGAATATGATGTAATATTCACCGGCAGAAAGTCATATTGACCTCGGCTGATATGTCATATGCCGGTGAACAACACGTCATATACAATGACACACTAATTAATAATTTTATAATAGCTCCTTACATAGTTTTAAACGCATTTAAACGCATCTAGGGGTTGTCTACCAAGTTTGTTCAACTAAAAGCCCTGGTGTCAAAATTGGCCCCTCCCAGGGGATGTCATTGTTTTTCCCTATATGTATATAGTAAAAACTTAAAAAATCTTCTTGAAAAAAACCCTTAAGAGCTAGAGCTTAGATATTTATCATGAACATCTTCTAATGAATGTTTACCAAGTTTGTTCAAATAAAAGCACCTGGTTTCAAATTGGCCTTGGCCCAGGGGCCTATATACAGGTTAGCGATTTCAGGGCCATCATAGCCCTCTTGTCTTTGATTTATGTCCATATTCCTTCGTGATCTATATACATATATTTTCAATGTGGGAAATTTAATGATGTTAGTGTGACTGTTGGTTATGTGTGCCCCTAAAGGCTGTTGAATTTTTAGTGTATCAGTGAAATGAAAATATTAAAAGTGCAGGTGTGAATTGTTTAAAATCTTACTTGCATATATCTAGACAATAAAGGTTCTGATTCTAGTTTTGTTGTTTGTTGTTTTTTGGGTTTTTTTGGTATATACATGTGTCTTGAAATACACGATATATATTAATACATGTGATGGATATAGAAATTTTGATGTGCCAGGAGACGAAACCGTTCAGTCTAATTTAAATGACGTCCTGTCTAGTGTTATATGGAATAGCATTGCTTGCTGCAAGATAGTGTTGGTTTATAATTAAAGCATTCCCTGCCAAAACATGAAATTACCGTATATTGAGTGTAGGGTACATTGCAATTGGAAAACTAATATTCTCTCATTCATGAATCGAACTCTAGAATGATAGGCGGACGTGTTATCGCGTCGCCACCGTCCCTGTAGGTCTGCCAAATCATCCATGAATTACTTTCTTAGGACATGGTCGTCTTTACACTAGGTATGAACTTGGGCGCGACACAATCATCTCGATGTGAATATTTGTGAAGGGTCATTTGGAATTCACGAATAACAAACTTCTTGCACGAACACGTGCATCTAATCACATGGTGAAAATATGCAGAACATTACTTTTTCTGTGTGGCCTTGACCTTTTACCAACGAAACTGGGTCTTGCGCGCTATGTTTCGATTTAGTAAACATGTGTGACATTTTGAACCCCCTGTGGATGACCAGGTTATCACACATACCCGACTATCTATACACTAGTATGGACAAGTATGCAGGACCAGATGAAATATACCCTTTAAGTGTGACCTTTGAGCTTCGGACCAGGCGCGCAACATATCTTGATGAAGTGAATATTTGGTTAAGTACTTTCAAAATCCATCAATTAATGACTAACTTATGGCCTTCTATACACTATGTAACACATAGTGATATTTAACCTCTAAGCGTGATCTTGACCTTTGACCTACTGGTCTTGGTCTCGGGTGTGACACATCGTCTTGATATGGTGAACATGGTTCCTGAACAAGAAACTTCCGGGAAAGGACCATTAATTCATTATATGAAAATATGCAAAACATAACCTTTAAGTGTGACCATCACCTTTAAGGCACGGACCTGTATCTCGCCTTGATTTTGTGAACATTTGTGCCAAGTTATTTTTACCTCTGATTACTTAATGACACACAATGCTTGATCGTCCCAGGCCGTGTCACTATGATACATGACATCCCTGTGTCGGTAAGCACCAAGCCAAATATTTCTCTTAGCGTAAGAGGTAAACATCGTCATGACAATGGTTAAGTGTTTATGTAATAATACAATAAGTAAATATCAAAATGATAGGGAGACTGTAATAATGTTGAATTTTCTTATTAACAAACTTTTGGAAAGCTACTTTTGAACAATATCAATGAGTGAAAGTAGTAACGATGTTTTAAATTGAAATGTATTATATTTTTTTTATATTTTTGCATGCTTATCAAACATTAAGTTCAATTTTTATTTCACTGACAACTGTCGTGTTCAACATTTGATGATTATGCTAACAGAATATAATGCAAATATGCATTATATTGATTGACCTAATGTGACGAGTGGTGTGCTTTTATTTAAACCAGTCAGTCGCCGAAGATTTTTTTGTGGAAACAAATCAAATAAAGCGGAGCTTCTGATTCTCCACCGTGCCTTGATATCTGTCCTAACGACAAATTATCAAGTACGATGAATAATTTGCCGTAACACATGATCAAAAAGATTCATTGAAACTAAAATATAAAAAAATATCAACATAAAAGTAAACAAATATTTGACATGCGCGTATAACAAAAAGGAATTCATAAGGATTCTCAGACTCCCAAGCCCTCTTACCGAAGATCTTCATGGTAATATCCACAGCGTTATGGAGCACATCTGATTTTAAACTTTATTATACTAACGTTTACTTTACTTTTATCAGCAGACTATCTGCTGTTCACCTTACTTTCATCAGCAGACTATCTGCTTAACCTAAATCGATGGACTTTGAAGCCAAAAGTCAATACCGTGGGGTCACAAAAGATTTGTTGTTTCATATGTATATACACTATAAGTCACTGCATTTGTATGTATACACCATGCAAGACACTACCTGTTCTAAAGAATTTACAGATTCCCCATTGTTCCAGAGACCTCTGTTTTAGACTCGGACTGACACATGTAATCAGGACTGGACAATCTTAAACATTCCTTTAATAATTTTGTGACTTGCACTTCAAGGATATGAGGACTGTTCTTCACTTGATGTAGAATGCATATATTCAGTAATCATCATTCAAAATTTCATACCATTTTCACGTTGAACGTTTTCAAATTATCATAAATTTGGCAGATGTGGTGTTGGAAGTTACTTTGAGGGTACGAGTCACGACATTCTATATAACTAAACACACTGTGGAAATCACTACATCTGAGCATGTATGCATAAACACTATGCAAGTCATATTTGTATGTATTTCTTTAAAAATCCACAAAACACTTATATATACTCAAAAAAGTAACGCAACACCTAAACAGGCTAAACTGTTCTTCTTTTTTTTCTAACGTACGTAATTTTAAAATTTATTTGACTGCCTTATGTTTCAATAAACCATTGCACAAACAAAAGGTTATAAAGCAAAAGAGAGAACGTTGAATACGACTACGAATATTTATTGCAGTACAAGGTATGTGGCCAAAAATACAGACAGTTTTTAGCTCGACTATTCGAAGAATATGAGAGCTATTGTAGTCGCCCCGGCGTCGGCGTCGGCGTCAGCGTCCGCGTCGGCGTCTGCGTTGGTTAAAGTTTTTTGTAAAGTCAAATATCTCAATTATTACTTGAGATATTCAATTGAAACTTACAATACTTATTTATAGTGACAAGGTACATCAGATTGACAAGTTGGATAACTCTGCCTACAATATTGACAGAATTATGCCCCTTTTTAACTTAGAAATTTTGGTTAAAGTTTTTTGTAAAGTCAAATATCTCAATTATTGCTTGAGATATTCAATTGAAACTTACAATACTTATTTATAGTAACAAGGTACATCAGATTGATAAGTTGGATAACTCTGCCTACAATATTGACAGAATTATGCCCCTTTTTAACTTAGAAATTTTGGTTAAAGTTTTTTGTAAAGTCAAATATCTCTATTATTGCTTGAGATATTCAATTGAAACTTACAATACTTATTTATAGTAATAAGGTACATCAGATTGACAAGTTGGATAACTCTGCCTACAATATTGACAAAATTATGCCCCTTAGGAACTTAGAATTTTGGTTAAAGTTTTTTTGTAAAGTCAAATATCTCAATTATTGCTTGAGATATTCAATTGAAATTTAAAATACTTTTTTATAGTAACAATGTACATCAGTTTGCAAAATTGCATAACTCTGCCTGCAATATTTGCAGAATTATTTGCCCCTTTGAAACTTAGAAATTTGGTTAAAGGTGAAAGGTTTTCGAAGATATTTACTTGAAACTTTACACATGCACTTAGGGTCATAATTGGAAGGTCATAATTGTATGTCACTGACCAAGTTCCATAACTCTGTCTTGCATTAAGGCTGATTCATTTCCCCTTTTCTACTTAGTATCTTGGTTAATGTTTACATGCAAGTTTTACATATCTCAATAACTTTTAAAGATATTTATTTAAAACTTCATATATGATTTAGGGTCATAATTGTAGGTCACTGACAAAGATCCATAATTCTATCTTGCTTTTAGGCGGATTTTTCTCCCCTTTTTTCAACTTAGAAATTCATGGTAAAGTTTTGCTTGTAAGCTGTTATATCAACAACAACTGAAGGGTTTGTGCCTTTTTTGGGACAATTTTATGCATTCATGATAATAAAGCAGTGATTTACTTGATAAAACATCTTAATAACAAGCCTTTGTACCTTTTCTGTCAAATTTATGTATTCATAGGTAATTAATATTATAAATAATATTATAAATAATACAATAAAACACCCTTGTGACATTTCCTTCTAAATAGTCAAGCCAATACTGTATAATTAGACCCTCTCCTTATAAGGCCTATAACATGAATTTATAAAAAAAAATTAGCATTTTTGTGAACTTAAAAACATTATTAAAGCTCTTTTACTATCAAGCACTTAGAATAGTCGAGCGTGCTGTCCTACTGACAGCTCTTGTTATATCATGTAATCTGAAATTAAATATAAATTGCAAATCATTGATCATTTTTCGTCGAAATAATTGAATCAAACAAATGTTCAGTGATTAATCCAATGTGAAATGAACATTTTTCGTCCAGGGCCGTAGCTGGGTTATACTGCACACGGTACTATATTGATTACACCACACAACAACTGTTACTTCGACTGATTTCTTTTAGAATGCATCTACTTCTCCAAGAAGGCGTGTATACAGTATATCAGGATATAAAGTGATCATAAGCCATTATGCCAATCTTTATTAATTCATGCATATATATATATATATATATATATATATATATATGTGTGTGTGTTCCTTTCGATGTTCATAATATCAATGAATATCGGTAAAATTAATGTGAACAATTTACCGAGCAGGACCGGCCAAAGAAATGTTCAAGACGGATGCACGTGCTTTTATGATATTTAAGATTAATGGTAGCTACTAATCTAGATATTGGGAAACGTTTCTGAATTTTGTGTATAAAATTGTGGCCTCTGATGCGTGCGAAAGTAACATCTTGTCAATTATTAAAACTTAAATGTTATATGTATTAAGATATTTACATTAATCATTTAAATTCGTGCTACTCTCGTAATCGATAATTGTCTTCAAAAATTTACATTTTATCATTTGTTTCGTATAAATTACACGGGAGTTTCCAAATGTAAACAAGCTTTTCCTTTTCGGCATTTGTTAAAGATTAGAGGCATTTTTAAGAATGAAATCTATACAAGAAGCTCTTGATTTATTTTCCTATCTTTAAGAACCATAATAACACAGTATGAGCCGCTAACGTCACACCGCTAGGCCGTCAACTTCACGCTGTTATACCGCCAGGCCAATTGGCCGTCAACTTCACGCTGTTATGCCGCCATGTCG